GTGCCGGCAGAGGGGCTCGGGGTGCCCAAACGTTTGGGGTCCCATTGCCCAGGGAGAAAAGTTGTCCAGAGCTGCAGCGAGCAGAATGGCTTGAGCTGCAGCCCTTCCCCACCAGCATCTCCAGCAGCATTTCTCAGACTCTTTCCATCCAAGTGCTACTTGAACAAGGCAGGGTGACAACAAAAGCTTGCTTGCCGACCACTGAGAGCCTGCCCAAGCTTTGTGTGCTTTCTTGCATGTCGACACCACTTGGTTCCTGCACTGGGTGTGGAAGGACTTGGACACAGCCTGTTCTGTCAGTCTGCACCATTTTCAGCTCCCGGGGTGGTGTTCCCCAGCACCCTGCAGGGCAGCACCCTGCCACACTAGTGTGTGTCACAACACACAGACACACACACGTACTCTCTTTCCTTTTTCACAGGGAAAGCTATATTTTGAGACCACCTTCTGGACCAAAAATAGGTTTTAAATGTGTCTTGTTTACTGAAAATTCATCTGGTTCTGGAAGTTTTTGTTCAGACAGATCCTCTTGGGAGGGTCAGGGCTACTTTCCATGTCCAGTGTGAGGTCCAACTCCAGGGATGGCTCTGCTGGGCCCTGCCATGATGCCATGGAAGTCTTCAGATAGCTGAAGTACAACATTCCAGCACCAGAAAACTTGTCATTTTTTGTTTACAAAACAGCCCCTATAGCAGCAGCAGAAGCCTGGCCAGCCCCCCTCACCACTCCATGCAGGTTCATGAGATGCTGAACACAGAAGCTCGGTCCTCGGCTGTGGCAAATCCCTGATCCTTACTGGAGCTCAGCATCCAGGTGTGAAATCACCCACTTGAACGTCGCAAGCCCCGGCTGCACCTCGCACAGGCGGCAGCAGCAGCAGAGCTGCCGGGCACTGTCACTTGCCTCCCAGCCCGGGATCAGCGGCGGCGGGCCCGGAAAGCTGCCGGGAAATGCCCGCCCAGGCAGGTGCCACAGCTCGGACCGGTCCCGCACCCGCATCCCTGCCCGGGGGTGAAGCCACCGCGCCGTCCAACAGCCGAGAGCGGGAAGAGCTTTTCTCTGTGATGTCTCCAAGATGCAAGCTGTGATTTACATGAGGTTGAAACACCAACCGGTCCTTGTCACTCCTGCAGCCGTGGCTTTGTGTTTGAGCTCTGCAGAGTTTCCGCAGCAAACCCGGCGTGCCCGTCCCCTCGGGCAAGGGCCGTGGCTGCGGGACCGGCCGCTGCCCTGCCCGGCGCTCAGGGAATCAACAGGAGCCGCGCTCCTCTAGACCTGCTCTGGAGACAGAAGGATGGCATGAAATCACTGTCGTTACCACAGGATGCTGCCGAGGCCAAGTATGTAAATGGTCAGAGAGGGACGAGGTGGAGGTAGATCCATTAGGGCTATTCAGGGACTTCCGTCCGGATGCAAAGCCCTGCTCAGGAAGTCCCCAGGCTGCCAGCCGGCAGCAGGAGGGGCACTGGGGAGCACATCTTGTTTCTCCTGCTCTTTCTGTGAGTAGTGTTACAGAAGAACCAGCCATGACAAATCATTCGGCGGGTTCAGCAACTGAGGAGGAAAGGAAAAGCAGAAGGAGGGTTTCAGCACTGCAAGGAGTTGGAGCAGCTAGTGAGGGCAGGTTTTAAGGTGTGAAACTGCCAGGGGTCCCTGGTGGTGGAGGACAGCCTCGGTGGCTGAGCCACCAGCACACGAAGCAGGCAGGGAAGAAAGCTGGCAAGAAAAGGAGACAAACAGCCTGCTGCTGGGACCAGGGAGGGCTGCCAAAAACCCAGCGGGGCCAGGCCTGGGGAGCCCAGCCAGAGCCAGCTGCACAGGCCTCCCAGCCCTGGTGGGATGAGGCAGCACAAGGGGGGCCAAGCAGGCTGGGGGTGGGGTGACCTGTATGTGGGGAGACACAGTGAGGCAGGGAGCTGGACCCCAGCCACCAGCAGGCCCCCAGCCCACAGCAGTGCTGAGCTCGGGCAGGGGATACCCCACTGCCAGGGTGGCAGGGACAGAGGATCCCCCTTTCTCCAGGGTGAGCAGGGATCATCTGGGCCAACCAGGGCAGGGGACCCCCAACGCTTAGGTGATAGGAGCAGGGGACCCCCAGCCCTGGGATGATTTGGGCAGGGGTCATCTCCCTTCCTGAACTCACTGGGACAAGAGACACTCCTTTGTCAGGGTAACTAGGACAGGGAAATCCTGGGGTGACCAGAGCAGGGGACACCCCTTCCCCCGGGTGACCGGGATGGGGGACGCCCCTCCCCGGAGGGGGGAACGGATACCCCCTCCCCCGGGGAATGCGGGAACCCCCGTGCTAGGGATGAGTGGGGATGCCGCCCGGGGGCGGTGCCCGTCCCGGCAGGGGCCCGGGGGCGATCGCCGCCCGCC